AGTAGAATTGAAGCAGAAGAGGTAAAGCTTGAGCCAGGAACAAGCCAAAAAAAAAAAAAAAACAAAAACAAAACAAAACCCAAAGGTTGCTTATCAGATAGAAAGACAGCCCAACACCTGAAGACTAGGAAGCAAAACGAGCAGCAGACAGCTACATTAATCCTAAATTTCACAAAATATGTTCCTGTTTAGTGAATAAAATGTCTGCGGAATCAAGTTCATCAAGAATATTCACTTTCTGTTTACTGATCGATAGGTAATCCCAAAATACCCCTCCCGCCCATTTTTCATAGCTTTATCTCGCCAGAGGAGCTAGGGGAGGGCCGCTATCAGAATGAGGAACTAAAGAGGCTTGACAAAACTCAAAAGGTAGCATTTTGCCGCCACATTAGCAAAAATAAAAGCTCACGGTCTCGAATGCTACTTAACTTCGTACCGAACAACTTTCACCATAAGATACACCGAGGCAAGCGGCCAAACCCTAATACAAAGTTTCAAAGCAAAACCTCTCTCAAGGTTAGGGGGGAGTAACCGAGTTAGAAGCAAAAACCGCCACTCAGCAGCCTCATTCGGCTACTAGCACAGACCTCAAACTTATCAAAAAGCTAAAACGGCAGCTCCTGTCACCCAGAAGCGCCAAAAGAAGGGCGCTCGAAATCAGACCACAGAACTGGCCTTCCTGGGGACCGCCAGGCCGAGCCCTGCTCCAACAAGGAGGAAGTAAGTGCCAGATTAAAAAAATAAATAAATAAAAAGGAGCCCCGAGCAGCTCCAACTGCAGCCTCTGAGCCTCCCGCAACTCCCCACATTCCGGCCGCACTCGGGGATGCCGGAGGAAGGGAACCCGATGGGAGTCCCCCGAGACGGCCTGGGGACTCCAGGTCCGCGTCTTCTAGCCGAATTTTGCGGGACCCGGGAATCCGGGGTTCGAGAGCCTGCTCTGAGGGCGTGTGTGTGTGTGTGGGGGGGGGGTGCGCTGAGCAGGGTCGCCCAGGAGGCGGGGCCTCCCGGCTAGAAGCAGCAGCAGCAGCAAAGCTCCTCGCACCCCGGCCGCCCCCCAGGAGAAACTGGGGCGCGCACCCCGACGCGGAAGCCACGCCGGCCAGAGCCCGAGTGCCCAGGCGCCGAGGTGCCGGCGGGGGGCGCTCAGGAGAGCCGGGGGCGCGGAACTGGGTCACCCCCGCCTCGCCACCCCCCTCACAAAGGCCCCCAGGGAGGCCGCCCACAGGCCCCACAGCCCCGGCCTCGCGTGCCTGCCTCGGCCGCCACTCACCGCTAGGTCCTGGGGCACCGCCCCGCTCATGGCCCGCACCGTGCCGGCTCGCCAGGCCCGAGTGCGCAGCGCAGGCCCAGGATCTCCGCTCACCGCTGCTGCCGCCGCCGTGGGGGCCGAGGCCGAAGCTGAGGCCGCAGGGTCCGAGAACAGAAGCAACAGCCGCTTGCCCACCGGGGAGGCCGCCGCGTCCGCCATCGCCAGGGCCGGCCGGACCCGCGCTCCCGCCCGCCGCCTCCCACCACCTCCGCCGCCAAGCGCCCGATCCACCCGCAAGGCCTCCCTCCGCACCACCCGCGGCCGCCGCTCCCCCCCACCCCCCCAACAGCCACCACCAACCACCGGCGCCGCGCAGCGCCCCCCGTGGCCGGGAGCGGAGGCACAGCCAGGGCGGCGCACAGCGCCCCCAGCGCTCCGGAGCCGGGCAGCAGCTGTCAGCCCCTCGCAGTGCTCCGCCCCAACCTCCCCGGGGCCTGCAGTGCCCCCTGCGGCCGGGAGGGGAATTGCAAGTTCGGCTGGGGGGCGGAGAGGTGGGCGGGTCCTTCATCCCCCTCCCCCCCAGTAGCCCCATCCCTCGGCCCAGCCTTGCTCCAATTCGGGTGGTCATGTGTTGAGGAGTTTACGCTTACTCTCCTCAGACAACACCAAAGACTTTTTAAGAGGGTGGGGAGATGAGACAAGGTACCTAAAAGATGGATATTTTGAGCTAACCCCAATAACCCATTGATCTTCTATCCTAAAACTGTTATCCTCCCTGTTACCTGTTAGGAAATATCCACCCCATTGATCCATATGGGACACTACCTTCCTTCTTATAGGCCCATTAGTAGTTCAGTACTTGATAGGTTCCTTTTCCATTGGCCGATGCGTAACATCCATTGGGTGTGATTATGATTTCCATTGGTAAAGACGAATGTGCCTTTAACATCTTAGTGTTCTGCCTTGAACCCACAGAGCTTCTTTCCTTTTCCAATGGACCAATGTTACTGTTTTTGAAGATTTTAGCCAGGTGTGGCGGGGCACATGCTCTTAACTCCAATGCTCTGGAGGCAGAGGCAGGCAGATTTCTGAGAGCTGGAGGCCAATTTGGTCTATCTAGGGAGATTTAGGCCAGCCAGAGTAACGTAGTGAGACCCTGTCTTAAAAAACAAACAAACAAAAACCCTTCTATTTGTATGTTAAGTGTCTCCAGCATTGTGTGTGTGTGTGTGTGTGTGTGTGTGTGTGTGTGTGTGTGTGTGTGCCACAAGAGGGTGCTAGATCCCTGGAACTGGATTACAAAACAGTTGTCCTGTGGGTGTTGGGAATTGAACCCAGGTCTTCTGCAACACCAGGAAACAGTAAGTGCTCTTAACCATGGAGCCATTTCCCTAGTCCCAATCTGCCAATGTTATTAAGCTTAGATGTTACTCAGCTTGTAAGGAAATGCAAAAGACCACCTAATTTAGTGGCATTTCATTTTACCATGGACATAATGGGGTTGCAGGCAAAAAAGTATAGTAGCATATATTAGAACTATTTCTGGCATGAGATACTCTACAATCTCAGAAAAGGAGGTAGTACAGAGGGAAGATGCTGAGATTTTGGATAGACTAATTCACAATATGCAATGGAGACCCTCCAACATTTGTTGATATTCTACTACCTTGTTTCTAGGAGTCTCTTGAATACACAGACTAAGTATATACAAACCCGAAAGAGAAATGGCCTAGTCATAAACCATGCCTGCTGCTCTAAAAGTAGCTAGTTCCTTCCTTCATCTGTACAAAGCAGCTGTGACTACCTAGTTATCTCCTTTTCCACAACCTTGTCTGTACCTTTGACCTACTTTTTTTTTTTTTTAAGCAAATACTGGGATGGGTGGTACCAACTACCAACTTTATACAGTACAAAGTATCCAGGGAAATCTTCCTAGTTCTAGCACTTGGAGCATCAAGGAAACAAAAATTTTGTCCCTATTCCTTCTAACCCTGTTTGTTTTTTGAAGGGTTTCACTACGTGTCCCAGGCTGACCTGGAGTTCACTGTGTAGACCAGTCTGCCTCTGGGGTTAAAGGCAGACCCCAACCCCTATTCTTTGTAACTTCTACTCTCCTATAGCAAACCTAAGGCCTGGACTGAGTCCTTAGTGCACACAGCCCGTAAATGATTCATGGAAGGAAAACAGGTGAATCCATACAGGACCTATCTGCCTTACATCTTCGCTACCAAAGTAACTACTGAAGGTTTTTCCTCCTCTATGGAGCCTTAACCACTGCCCCAGTATCTAGACTAGCTTTTCACAGCACCAGTGACAACTATATTTCAGCTCAGGGATGGGATGGGCAAAGGAGAAATTCACCCAACAAATAAAATAGGTACTTTTTCATATGCCAAGAAATTTCCAAAGTGTTGAGTCCACAACACTGAATAAAATAATCCCCTGCCCTCACAAAATTTACACTTCTTTCCTATAAGAGACTTAAGCAATGAAAGTGAGTAGTACATTTGACCTCGCAGAAAACTAACAGAAAACTAGAACCACAGAGCTGGGGGTATAGCTGAGTGGGAATATTCACCTAGCATGTACAAGCCCCTTGTGTTTTTGTCCTCAGCAAAACACACACACACACACACACACACACACACACACACACACACACACACGAAAAAAAAAGAGATTTTAAAACCAACTATAAAACTAAAAAAAAATAACAAGGGGCAATGTCTTTTCAGTTGTTCAAACTTTGCCCCTGGCCCAAGCAGATAAACAGTAATTGTAAAGAGAGAAAAAGCAGAAATACAATTTCTTTAACTACGCGTCTGCCTTGGTCCACCTCCAAAGTACCTCCTCCTTTATTTCCAGGGCAGGTAGTGACTCCCACTCTCTGGGGTCATTTGCATCCAAAGGTTCCTGTTCCAGGTCGCCAGGCCAGTCCTGCCCTGGACTGTCATTGGCATTCCAAGATGAGTACCACGATTTGAAATAGAAAAGCAGGGCATAAGGTGAGCACCTTGACTCTCCCTGTAGCTTGGTAAAGAAAGGCTGAACTTTATGGGCAGAGGCCCTTGCTTGGCTAAAGTAGCTGTATTTCATCCACACACATTAGAAAAATGTTAACATAAGAAAGGTGGAATAGAAAAGCCAAGACTTAAGCAACACTTTTTTTTTTTTCTTCAGGAAACAATAGAAGCTTTAGGGAACATGTCCTTTTCTAGGACAAAGAGCTTTACTGTTAGGATAATTTTGCAAACAAGATTTTTAAGATGAAGTTACCTAGGTCTTTGGAATCTGAGTTCTAACAACTAAATTTCCATCTCTCCAGGATATAGCATGTGAAAACTCTTAGGAAGGGAGTCCTGTCTTCTCCCATCATCCAAAGCCTATGAATCAACCTAGTCATGTGTCTAACTGTACCATCAAGCACATCTCAGGGAACTGGAATCTATTAGTACTTGATTTTAACCAGTTGGAAATGAGAGTGAGGGCAGACTACACTTGTAAGTACCAGAAAACTGGGACCAAGCCATACTGACAGACTCCCAGGCAACAGGGTCTGATCACAGAAGGTCTAGGGACCAGATCCAGCCCTTTTGGATGGCCTGGCCATGCCTCAGAGGGATTAGGAAGTTAGGCAACATTCTCACGGCCTCTTCTTTTCCTGTGTGTGTGTGTGTGTGTGTGTGTGTGTGTGTGTGTGTGTGTGTGTGTGTGCACGTAAGGGAAAAAGACACTGTAGTACACAAGGTTGCTTGGGAAAATGGATTATTCTAATAAAACTTTATTTTTTCAAACACAGCCACAGAGGCAGAACCTCATGTTTTAACACACACAGACTTATGGATTTTTTAATATAAAACAAAGTTTACGAAAAATTTTTTTTCCACTTTTTGTTTCAGTAATCCCATTAGCACAGGGACTTTGGCAGCAGGTGGGAATGAAGGGCAGCGAGGGCTGCCATTGGGCAGTCACCGGGCACAGGAGGAGCGCATCAGCCTGGGAGCGGCTTCCCTCACACACGCAGTACTACTCACCTACTGGCCAGCCACACCACACACGCAGCACAGATGCAGACATCAACACAGCATCAGCCACAAGCCCCGGAGGTGTGCTCCACTCTGGGAAAGCCCAAATGTGAGAACCCAGATAATGAAACCGGCTAAAGTAGAGGGAGGTTGCTCGCTTTACCAAAGAAGCAATCATAGGCTGCTTTTAAATGGCCAGCAGTCCAAATGCATTAAAAAACAGCATTTGGTTTACACAGAACTGTTGGAACAGATCTATTGTGTAAAGCAAAATGATTCATGTCTTGAAAAGGCTTGTTCCAGGGCCAGAGGCATTTAAACTGGGAAGCAAGATGATAGTTCTGCCAAGTTTAACATTCCAGACTTAAAGGAATGGAATCAAAATATGACAACTGCAGGCCTCCTTCCCTATGGGTGGTGACCTAAGGTCTTTGGGAAGCCAGGACGGAGGCAGAACCACTGCCATCACTTAAACGTAGTAGGGCCTTGCAGAGACCCCATTGGCACTGCCAGTCACCTATCGGAGGCTGACACTGCCATCTGCAGCAGAGCCCAAGGATGAGGATGCCCCAGGTGGAAAAGAAGCTGGCACCAGGGAAATTATGGACCAGAGAGGGAGAACCAGGGAAGGATGAAACCAAGGATGGGTAACTCCTGGGCTCAGTTTCCCTGGATTCTCGAGAGAGCCTCTCTTAGGTCCTTAGAGACTGGTAGCCCAGTGGTAATATGTGGTAACTAGCCAGGAGATAGGGAGGAGCCCTGGAAAAGTAGAACCTGAGGGCCACAGGCTCAAGAAGACATGGCTACCTCCCGTGAAGACACCCTTGAAATTGAACAGAAAAATGCCCTTACTATGATAAATGGGAAGGGCAGGTCCAAATGCGTTATGCAGGGTGTTCTAAACAAAGCCTCACGGACTGCAACAGTAGCAGCTTCTATATGCATACCTCCTGGTGCCAACCCTACCAGGGTATCTGCAATCTTAAGTCCATGTCTGTGGCCACTGGGAGCTGCTGCACCGGCTGCAGTTGTGGGTAAGAAACAAAAAAGGAAATCCAATCCAACAACAACAAACTCCCAGCTGCTTCTCAGAGCCTTCGCCTCACGCATCCCCAGCCAATCCCTCGGTGCACCCCAGCCTCTCCGTGGTCTCGCAGGACCAATTAGAGGCACATAAACATTTCCTGGCAAGGGTGGAAGACAAGCAAACTATGAGACGCTCAGCACCCTTCCTCTTTCCTGAAGATCAGAAAGAGACTCGGCCTAGATCTTGCAAGAATAAGTTTCCCTACAGCAGCCAGCTTCCAAAGGCAGTGCTGGGCTGGGCTCCAGGACTTCTGGGGACTAAATGTCAGTGCTCCTGCTACAGGTCTGCCTCCACATATTCTGGGGATCAACTCTGTCTCTGACTTGAAAGATCAAAACATGAGAGGGTCCCCTTGGTGAAGAAAAGAGAGAACTCCTCAGTTCTGCCTCAGCTGCCCTTGTTTGCACCTACTCAGAGAACAAGAGAGGCAGGCTGTGTACGGTGTACAGCTTAGATAATCTGATGAACACAATGAATGCGACCTTCCTACAAGCCCTCCATACTAGATTTATCTAGTGGGAGAGGGTGGGACTGAGGAAAAGACCATTAGCTGAGGTCACCGTACTTAGACCCCAAAACAGAGCCATCTGCAGAGCAAGTAATGCTATGAACTTAAAAGCCTGGCTCCAGAGCTATGAAGACCAAAAAAAAAAAAAGCACCCCTCTACTCTTGACACCTTGAACAAGCCCAACGTCATATTAAAAGAAAGAAAGAAAAAAGTCAAGATTCTGGGGGCATCCTGATGCTCTACTGTAAAAGGAGCAACTGCCTTCCTTCCCTAAGGCTGCACAAACACACCTTTCCTCAAGTGTACGCCCATGCACACACACGCACTCACACAATTTCTCCGAGGAGGCTGACTGAACGCCCGCACCCTGGCCAAATTCTAAGACACAAGTGCCCTTTGAAGCAAAGGGGCTAGTGAAATTCCCCGAGCTGGGGTCAGGAGACCCCTCCTTCCCTGCCCATTGCTCTCAGCGGCAGGGATGGATACTCACACTCGGGGCCGCCATGGGGAGGGTCTGCTCTGGGGCTATCCCTCTCGCCACCAGCTCCGTTTATCTTGTCCCGGCCAGTCTCTTGGCATGGTCGAGCTTGCTGGAGCGAGAAGACTTGGGCTGCCCTGAGTCAGAGACCTCCACTCACCCCCTTTCCCAGGCTGGGCCCTCAGCCTTGGGGCCTTCACACGGGTTAGTAGCCATTAGACAGTCAGTCTGTGTGGCCCCAGCAAGTAGCCTCTCAGCTTTAGTTTTCCTCAATCAGATTCAGGTCCAGGTCCCCAAAGTCCTGCTGGCACAGTGTCCGCTTTTGTCGTGCCCTCCGACCCCACCGCACAGCCCCCTCTTCCTCCTCTTCGCTTTCACTCAGCGCGTGGGATGACCCCTCAACTGGACTGCAGGAAGCAGAGAGAGGTGGGGGGCTACAGGCCATGAACCACGGTGGAGAGATGCTGCTGTCTTCTCGAGCTGTTTCTTGGAGACAGAGACCTCCTCCTGAGTATGGTTTCTGTCAAACAACCAAGTTGAGACAAAGACATTAATTTCCCAAAGTAACATAAAATTTCAAAAATTTTCCACTGATTATTCTCTATGTATGGGTGTTTGGCTTGCATGTATGTCTGTGTGTGTGTATCATGTGGATAGAAACAATGCCCACAGAGACCGATAGAAGGCGTCAAGTCCCCCGGAACTGGAGTTATACCATGTAGGTGCTAGGAATCAAATCCAGGTCCCCTGGAAGAGGACCTGTGCTCTTAACCACTGAGCCATGTCTCCTGGCCCTCCAAAAATAAATTTTAAAGTGTCTCTCTCAGTTACACTTGAAGGCAGAAATTCTAGGTTTTAGAGTGAGCTTCCAAATCATAAAATTTGGAACATTTAGTATCCGTGTACATTCTCAAAGGAAAGAACCCCAGTTTCCACTTTTAATCCCAGTAGTTGGGAGGCAGAGGCAGGCAGATCTCTGAGAGTTCAAGGCTAGCCTGGTCTACACAGTGTGTTTCGGACTACAATAATTAGACCCTGTCTCAAAAAAACCAAACTAAGCCTGAACCACAACAAAGCATAGAAGCCTGGGGGCTGAGTATTAACAGAGTGGCTGAGCATTTGCATAGCATGTCTAAGGACACAGGTTCACTCACAGGCACCACAAAAAAGAATGGACGCTGTGAGTTATAATGGGGCATGGTGGGATCCAAACTCTCATAGCTCAGGAGGCTGAAGCCAACCTGGGATAAACAGAAAGACCTCTTCAAAACAAACAAATCCAAACACACTCATTTATAAGCTCCACGAAGTCAACACCACCATCTGCTTTTTGGCCACTCTGGCCTGCCAGCGCCCGAGAAGAGCCAAGTACTTTTGCCGATTTTGCCATAAATGCTTCCCAAACGGCTGAATGACTAAAGGAACAAACTCTCAGAGACCCGTGACCCAGTGATCTAGAAAGCAAACCATGGACAAAGTGAAGAAGCACACGCAGCAACTGCTCTCGGGCTAGGACTGGACAAAGGGCTTGGGAGGGCTGTGGAAGGCTCCACAGGCTCACACGAGGCAGTGACGTGCAGGGAGCACACTCAACCCTAAGCACAAGGAGCGGAGTCTGGTGACAGAACCTTTGTGGCTTGAGAGTTCTGGGGGGAAGGGGGGCGTGCCTCTGGCAGGACAATCAGGGATCCCTGTCGGAAGGTTAACGTCTCAGCCTAGCTTCCCTGAACATCAAAGGTTAATCTGACAAGGCAGAAGACTTTAAAGGTTCCAAATCAAAAGGTCCCAGGCAAGCCAGACTGGCCTCCTAGAATAAACGCGAGTCGAGTTCCCAGGGATGCCTGTAAGAGGGTCTTCCCAAGTCTTCCCACTCTCCTCTACACTCCGCTGGCCGACCGGTCCCACCTGATTCATCTTGTCGAAGTCCAGGGAAGGCCGCAGGCGCCGGGAGTCCTCTTCATGACGCCGCTTGACCCCAGTTTTGCGGGCATCCAGATCACAAGGCTGTGAGCGGCTTCGGGGAAGGTTGCGGAGACCCCGAGGTCTCCAGGGCAGCTCTGGGGAAGATGCAGGGGAGCTCCGGGCAGAGGGCAAGAAGCGGCTTGCCTGTGGGCCCAGGCTGGGGGACAGGGAGAAGCGGCGCTGGGGTGGGCAGGGTGACAGGGACTCAGCATCGCTCTCCCAAGAACCATTCTGAGGGGAGGTGGCGCAGGGCTGAGCGGACTCTTGGGCCAGGGCCAGGCTGAAGAAAGGGGGGCTGTAGGGTCTGTGGGCTGGGGCACACTGAGAAGAGGCACTGGGAGCTTGGAGGAACCTGAGGCTGGAGACCCGCTTCGGGGGGCTCTGGTGAGGCACCTGCGGCCCACCCCCTCCAGCACTGGCCCGGTGCTTGATGGGAGTCCACAGCTTGGAGGGGGCGGGCCGCCACACTGGCTGCCAGCGAGACAGGTCCACAGGCACCGAGAGTGAGCGGCAGTGCCTCTTGGATGGAGGAGCAGGGGGCACAGGAAGCTTCTCTGGGTCTGGGGGTTCAGGGCTTAGTACTTGGGAGAGGGGCTGCTCCTGTGGGGAGTTTCCCCGACTAGGTGGTCTGAGGTGCAGGCTCAGGCCTGAGGGATGGTAGCTGAAGTTGAGGCTGTCCTGGAACTCAGCACAGGAACAGTGGGGCAAGCCCCTCCAGGAAGCACCTTCTGAAAGGCATTCATAATAAAAAGGATTAACAATAGCTAACATATTATAAGAGCTTCTGCATCACATAATGTAGCAAATACTTGGTGTAGGTTCACAAAACTCTCCATGAAGGAGGGAACGGCCGTCTAACTTGCTCCAAAGTGTGTAGCTATCAAATGAACAAAACAGGATTCAGACTTCACTACACTACGATACCTTCATCCTAAGAACCCACCTGGAATAAAGAACATTTACACACCATCTGCCACTTCCTCTCAAAGGTACAATCGTCAAGAGAAACCTGCATGTCTGTGTGTATGCCCCATTCACCCCCAGGCTCCCAGACCAGCCCTATCTTCAACCCAACCTTCCCTGCTCCCAGCCTGAGTTCTGAAAATCAGGCCTATGTTCGCCTTCTCTGGCCCTCTTCCTTTTTTTTTTTTTTTTTTCTCATGACAGAGTTTCTCTGTGTAACATTCCTGGCTGTCCTGGAACTCCCTCTGTAGACCAGGCTGGCCTCGAACTCAGAGATCTGCCTGCCTTTGCCTCCCGAGAGCTGGGATTAAAAGCGTGCACCACCACCACCGCCCGGCCCTTCTTCCTCTCTTCTGTGGCACCAGGACCAAGGAAGGCAGTACTGTCTACAGGAAGTAATCCAGCAACCAAGCAACTGCTTTCATCCCCAGGAAAGGCGAGGGAGATGCGGGGGGGTCTGAAGGCAGAACGCGTGCTCCGAGAACCCCTGAGACTCTGTTAATTTTGTTCTTTCACGTCTGTTTGTGCGTATACTCTGCTTCCCTTCCTCTTAGGCCTTCATTATAAATTTTGAAAAAACAAAAAAAGTTTTTTGAGACTAGGTTTCATTATATAGCCCTGGTTGGCCTGAAATTTTCTATGTAGCCCAGGCTGGCCACAAACTCACAGAGATCTACCTATCTCTGCCTCCCAAGCGCTGGCGCGTGCGCGCACATACACACACACCCATAAATAAATGTAATTTAAAAATAAAATGAAGCAGAGAGCCGTTGAGCAAGACATAAGATGTTGACTTCTGAGCTCAAAGTATGTGGACTCTTGTCCATACCCACATGTACATGGACACAAACGAACATGTACACACACACACAATCATGTGTGTGGAGGTCAGAGGACAACTTGGGGAAATCAGTCTCTCCTTCCATCATGGGGGTCCTAGGGATGGAACTCTGGTCGTCAAGCACTTTATGACATCTGCCTGCCCCCTCCAATTCTTTTTTCTTTTTTTTTTTTTGAGGTGGGGACTCTCACTGAACCTGTCACTCATCAATTTGGATAGGCTGGCTGGCCAACCTGTCTCTACCTCTCTAGGCACTGGAATTATAGACTCTGCCATCGTTCCTGGATTTTATGTAAATGCTGGGGACCCTGACAAATCCAAACACTTACACTGCAGGCACTTTATCATCTTTCTAGTCCCCCCAAATTGTGACTTATTTTGAGACAGGGTCTCGTGTAACCCAAACTGGCTTCAATGCTACATAACCACTGCTGACCTTGAATGTATTTTATCCTCCTGCCTCTACCTCCCCATTTAAGACTGATTTGGGGGAAATAGCTCACTACAGGACAATGGGCCTATTCCAAGTTTTCTCAAGAATTCTCTAGAAAAGGCACAAATCCAAGTATATAAAATCAGACTCGACGACAGCAAGCATTTGGTCAACAGTTCCTCTCCTTACCAGCCTTCATGAGGCAGGGGTCAGGGATCCTTATGCATAAGACCTGGCCTTCAGCAAATGTTTGTGTTTTTGTTTTTTCAACAAGAGAAAGAATGTAGCTGCTTGCCAGGTAGCCCAGAGAGATGTGTAGCAGCCCAGCAACACAGGTTAGAGAGCTTCTGGCTGTCTTAGTTATACTCATGATCATAGGCCCTTAGATTAATTCATACTCTAGGAATTTACATTTCAGATGTATTGTCACATATTAGAAATGACCTGGGGACAGAGTTATTCACTAAAGTCCTCTGTAAAGAATAGAAAAGGAGTCTGGAGAGGTGGTTAGTTAGTAGGTGAGAACACTTGCTGTGTAAGCCTGAGAACTGGAGTTTAGATCCCAGCACAAATAGCCAGGCACCTACATCTGGGGCTGTAGGGTGGAGACAGGAGGATCACTGAGGCTTGCTGGCTGCCAGCCTACCTCCAGGTTCAATGAAAGACTGTCTCAAAGGAGTGAGGCAGAGGGACAGGACAGAACACCCGACACGTGTCAAATATGCATACATACACACGTATTGTACGTGCACACGCGCCCCAAAATTAGAAGACTGCAAACTGCCCAAATCTCCATCAACAGGGACTAGGTAAACTACTACAGATCCATACAGTGTAATAACGTCCAACTCCGTAAAACAGGCACCACTGGGCACAGACCGGGGAAGGCACCCAGCTGTACTACGCTATAACGAAGCAGAGACTAACAGAAAACTCTGCCAAAAAAGCAATAATGCAGATACTTATATTTGCTTCTACTTGTATATAGATATCCAAGTGCTAGCGAGATGTCTCAGAGAATAAAGGTGTTTGCTGCCAAGCCCAATGACCTGAGTTCATCCCTGAGATCTACAAAGTAGAAGCAAAGAACCAACCCAACGCCCACAGGCCATAGGACACACACCCCACCCCTCCATAAGTATAATAAAAAAACAAAACTAGAAATTATGAGTTAGGCCTAGTGACATAGACCTGTAATCCCAGAGGCTGAGGCAGGAGGTTACAAAGTCAAAGCTAGTCTGTGACATTTAGAAAAACCCTATCTCAAGATAAAAAAGCTGGGCATGGTGGTACACACCTGGAATCCCCAGCACTTTAGGAGGCAGGCAGAGGAGCAGGAATTACTATCAGCCTCAACTACAGAGCCAGTTCAAGATAAAATAAAGAGTTGAGATGCAGTCCTGCTGTGGAATGATCCTTCTGTATACTGTGAAGATGTGTTGTTCTCATTGTTAATAAAGAGCTGACTGGCCAATAGCTAGGCAGGAAGAGGTTAGGTGGGAGAGCCAGACTGAGAGGACACTGGGAAGAAGGGCAGAGTCAAGGAGTCGCCAGCAAGAGTAAAGGAAGCAGGAGATAAATATGCCTTGTTGAAAAAAGGTACCACCACATGGTAGAGTGTAAATAAGAAATATGGGGGCTTGGGGGCTGGAGAGATGGCTTAGAGGTTAAGAGCACCGACTGCTCTTCCAGAGGTCCTGAGTTCAATTCCCAGCAACCACATGGTGGCTCACAACCATCTGTAATGAGATCTGGCGCCCTCTTCTGTATACATAATAAATAAAGAAATCTTTAAAAAAAAAAAAAAAAGAAAGAAATATGGGGGCTGGAGAGATGGTTCAGAGGTTGGGAGCACTGACTGCTCTTCCAAAGGTACTGAGTTCAATTCCCAGCAACATGGTGGCCTACAACCATTTATAATGAGATCTAACGCCCTCTTCTGGCCTGCAGGGATACATGCAGGCAGAGCACTGTATACACAATAAATAAATCTTAAAAATAAAAAATAAAAAAAGAAATATGGGTTAAGACATAAGAGCTAGTTAGTAACATGCCTAAGCTATCGGCCAAACATTTATACTTAATAATAAGTCTCTGTGTAGTTATTTGGGAGCCTGCTGGCGGGACAGAACTGACTGGTGCGACAGAAAAACTTCATCTACACCGTCCTGTAACAGAGTGCTTGCTTAGTATGTCTTAGTCAGAGGTTCAATCCCAAGTACTACCCCCCAGCCAAAAAAAAAAAAAAAAAAAGAAAGAAAAGAAAGAAAAAAAATTCTACTTGGATCATTCGATATATATAGGAAACTAGTTAACAGGGCCCAAGCAAGAAAGCTCAACAGACAAAGGTAGTTGCTGTCAAGCCTGATGAGTTGGATCCCCAATCCCTAGAAGCTACATGGTAGAAAGCGAAAACCAACTCCTGAGGCATGGTGTTTGTTCCCTTACCTCCATATATGTACTCTGCATTCATACATGCACAGCACCCCCACCCCCATGTAAAAAAGAGAACAAGAAGTTTATAGGTCAACAAGATGGTTAAAGGGTAAAGGTGCTTCAGGTCAAGCCTAATGACCTGAGTTCAATCATCCCCAGGACCCATGTGGTGGGAGAGAATTGATTCCTATAAATTGTTCTCTGACCTCACACACTGTAGCACACATGTGCATACATTGTATATAATAAATGTAAAACAACAACAAACTTAATAATAGCAGTTGCCTCTCCATGCCACACACAGTTCTTAAGAGCAAAGGAAGAGCCTCATACATGCCAGGCAAACGCCCTGTCTGAGCCACAGCTTTCAGAAGGTACTTTTAGGGAGGAACTAGGAGCTAAATGGATTGGAAACAGGAGATGATGACTTTTATCAACATAATATTTTTGCTATTTTTAAACTATGTAAATGTACTACCTCTTCAAAGCAATTACATTAGAAAAGTTAAACTGATCTAGGATCACACCTGCAACCCAGCATTCAATAGCAAGACTGTTAAGAGTTCTAGGTCAGCCTAGGCTACAAGATCCTTCCCCAAAAACAAAAGAGTAAACTGAACATGATTTTCCTACAAGACAGTAAATAGAGATAGATAGCACTCTCAGAAGGTGGCCTTGACAAAAACAAAAAACAAACAAACAAAAACAAGCTGGTGGCCAGTGGTGCCCAGCGGCAGGGCACATCTTCAATCCCAGCACTTGGGAGGTAGAGGCAGGTGGCTCTCTGAATTCAAGGCCAGCCTGGTCTACAGAATGAGTTCCAGGACAGGCTCCAAAGCCAGAGCTACACAGAGAATCCCTGTCTCAAGAAAAACAAAAACAAACAAACAAACAAAAAAAAACCAAGCTGGTGTGGTGGCAGGACACCTTTAACACTATTATCACTCTGGAGGCAGAAGCAGAGCTCTGTGACTTCAAGGCTAGCCTGGTATACAGACTTAAGACCTTGTCTCAAAACGAAACAAAACAAAGCAAAACAAAAGGCCCATCGCAAAAACTAAAGGTAGGTTAACCAGTTATGGTCATTAAAAATTAATCACAGAAATGTGTGGACAGAAGCACAAACACACATACATATAAACCACAGATTCCTTACCAGACACAAGCTGGAAAGGGTTCCCACAGTTGGATATGTCTGCATGATCAGGCAAAGGCTAAGAGAGAGATTATCCATCATTATTTGGGTTCAGGGCAAGGACACCTCTAGAGAGACCTCTTACATTCTCCCTATATTCATGGGCTACCAGGATATTAAGAGACTCCTGTGTTGTTCTCTTCCCAAAGTCAGTGAGAAATAAGCCACACCTTCAAACATTACAAAGCCCTTTTCACCCAAATGTTAGTGTCCCTGTCCCCTTCCTCTTGGGCTGGGTTCTGAGCTGTTAGTGGGCTTTTCTAGTACAAGCATGTTTCATACAACACAGAACAAGGGGAAAATTGTAGCAACAAACAGCCTCCAGAAAAAAAAAAAAAAAGAGGGGGAAGATCATGAGGAAAGAGGAATACTGGTCTTTTACCAGACTGATGCTGAAGCGTGTGCATTTCAGCTCATCCAGAGTCTGCTTCTGTAGCTGCTCAGTGATCAGGGTTATCATGTTTTGCCCAGGATTTGACTTGCACACTTTGGAGCAAATGACGGATGTCTTCCCTGTCGTTCTTCCAGATCTCACTCGTGAGCCGTCTTCTGCCACTGAAGCACCGTTCTAGCACCATTGGGACTTCCCTCTCCAGTCATGCCTGCTGAGTCTGCCAATCACAGAGGGATCAGCCCCAAGTAACATTAGAGATGTACCTGGTGCAGAGCTGGAGAATGCATGGCACACATACCCCAGCATCCCTAGGCCAGGCCTCCGTAGACATCGTTAATTGATCATAGCACTCCCAGTGAGCCTAAAGATGGCCTCAGAAACACACTGAACTTGGCACTCTAGATATCCAGTAGAATAAACCGAAGATGGCACATTGAACCTATTTACCACTCCTCGCCTTGCTTATGCTCTGTTGTGTCTACCTAGAATACCAGCACCACTTAGAAAACAGATTCAAATGAGAGATGCCCAAATGGTTATTTCATACCAAATTAGCACAATATTCTCTTTATCTTACAGCCAGAAGCCAAGAAAGGAACCCTTCTCCTAAACCACAGGGGCTTAGTGCCAGGAGAGGAGCAAGGCATGGCTTTCTGCTTCAGATCAGGATAGGATTCTAAACCCTATGGCCTGAATAGCTGATACATCACTCTTCCCCAGTAGATACTGTGGGTATCCTCTTATACAATGGGAAGGAATGGTCAGGGTGGTTGGTTCTGATTACATTTCAACTGTACAGATATTAAAAACAACTCCATGACTTTATTCAACCAAGTTTTTTTTCATGATCCCACTCAAAGACCATGGATATAATTAACCAAGATTCTTCCTTATGACTGAAGCAAACTATTTTTTTATCAAAGAGCAAGCTTCAAAATCCCACACATTTACTACCTGAGGGGCCTTGGCTTGCTCAGAGGAGGGAGGTCAACAATGTCTTTTCTTTTACCTCTTCCCATAAATGACCAACAGGCAGACCCGAGGCCATGGAGCATTAACTAGTACAGAGAAGAACCAACCAAGAAATCCAGTCCTGAGCACACACTGGGATCCCAGCACCTGGGAGGTACAAGAAGGAACATAAGAGCTCATAAGGTCAGCCTGGGCTACAACCCTGTCTAAAAACAAAACGAGAAAGCTGCCACCACCACCACCACCAAGTCTTAATTCAATTTGCTCAGTCAGTTTTAGCTAACCACATAACATTTCTGCTTCCACATAAAATGGATATAACAATCTTATTCTATACCGGAACGAGGCTACATGAACTATCAAACTGAACAATACCTTACCAACTGGCCTATAAAAAAATAGGAGTTCACATAGGTTCTCAAAGCCTTGGCATGCCCGAAGTGGTGATATCATTAAGATGAAGAAGGCAATAGGGTCTATCTCTGGCTAGACGCCACCCTCCCTCACTTGCTCATCAAGGAAGAGCCTAAGGGCTCGGGCTCTTCCTCCTATGACCTGGGGTGGGGTAGGGGGAGACCACCCCCTTACAGAAAAAAGAGGGCATCGTCTCCAAGGAAGGCAACAAAGAAGAACAAAGTACCCTAGGATGTATTTGGAGTTCTTTGGAAGAAAGGTGCAGAAGTCAATCATCACTACAGTTAACTATCATTTCCATGCATAATTATTACTACCACTGGGAACAAAGTTCCAGCTTCCTGAGACCTCCCCTCGGCTGCTTCCCCTGCGTTCTGGTGGGAGAAGGTAGAGCTGGACTCTCTTCTGTTCCTATTTTCTTAACTCTGCCCTCAAAAATCAACAAGGGAAGCTAAGTGAAGACTTTTACCCTAGAGACCCCAGGCTGACCAGCCATGAGGAGCAGGGAGTGAAAAAACTTTCAAGCTTTTCATGAGGCATTTGGACAAACAGCAAACTCCCAGCCCTCTCTAGGAGCAGCTGAAGAGAGTGATTTTCTATTTTTCTGCATTTTAATTGTTGGGATGTGGCCACACACAGCGGTAATTGGAACAATGCAACTACCACCACGCAACTGATACTCTCAGCCCGAGTTTCCTAAAACAGGCCAGGCTGAGAGGGGGAACAGAACGGAAGCCATAAGGAATCAAACCAGGACACAAAAGAAGGCAAACCAGCTCTGCAAGGGGCCTCCTCGTTCTCAAGCAGACATTAAAAAAAAAGTGTGAGAAGGCCTCTCTGGCGGCCTTCCTTCCCCTTCCATTTTGTGTATCTGAAGGGTAGACAGCCCTCAACGTTGACTAAACAAGTTAAAACTTCTCTGCTTAACATTACTGGCACAAGGCTCAGCCCTTCACTGAGCAGCAGGCCGCTCGGCCCTCCCAGCAACCCCACCAGGCCTAACTCTCAACCCAGGGTCTCTCCCTCCACCCGAAGCCCCCTAAGATAACGACTAGACCCCCCCCCCCCCCCACGCCTATTGGATGGAAGGAACCCCTGACAGTTGTGTTTCAGGGAGACTGAGGTTGTGCTGAAACCTGGACAACCTAGGATCCAGTCAGGCCAGGGGAAAAGAAAGTCATAAATTCCCTGGGGGCATTCCCCCCAGGTCCCAGTCCCAAACCTCTGGGAGAAACTGAAGGAAAACATAAGCGAGGGAGGGAGGTGCAGGAAAAGCTATCAGACTGCTCTTCTTCCATATGGTTCTGCTGAAGATAGGGGTGACAAGTGGGGTGCACCCATCCCCCCACCACGACGAGAAAGCGAACGGCTTAGGCTCCCTCTAATCTTCAACCTCTCCCTCTGTTGCCCTGCCTGTCCCCGCGGGGTGGGGCATGGGGCATCTACTGGCCGGGGGGTGGGGGGGGTGGGGTGGGGGGGCACTCCAGGGTTCGCTCAGGGGGACTGTCGCTCTCCTCTTCCCATTCGGGTTCCCCATCTGACCCGCGGGAAGCGAACTCAGGACGCAGAGGATGGGGAGGGTCTGGGACATGCACTCCGCCACCCCCTCCCCCACCGGGTCCCGTGCTCTCCCGCCGAGGCAGCCTGCGAGGCTCGGCCGCACCAGCGGCTGGCCTGGGGGAGGGGAGGGAGGGAGGGAGGGACGGTCGCGGTGCCCGCCCCGAGGCCCCAGCACCACCTGCCCTCCGCTACCTACCGCGGCTCCTCCAGCTCCCAGGGCCGCGGCCGGAGCAGCTCTGAGCGCTCCGTTCGCCCCACGGTGCCCTTAAAAGGCGCTGGCACGAACCAACGGGCCCTCGAGGAGAGTGGGGGGGATCGCTCCTGTTCGCCGAATCCCCCGGAACCGCCCGAAGAGACCCGGGCCCTCTGTGGTTTCTCCCTCAATCCTTTCCAGAGTAGTGCCGTCGGAAAGGAGCCTAGAGCTATGATTTGGGGACAGGACGGCGTCCTCACTAACGAATCACCCCCTCCAAAAGATCGCCGCGAGTGGACGCGCCCAGTTGGAAGCATATCCTGAAGCCCGTAGGGGAAGCCATGTCGGATAAAGGTAAACAAAGCCATTGTCCAATCCTTCCAATGCCCCATCTTCCCAACTGAACTGTCTCACTTAACTCAGACCCCCAAACAGTATTAGCCACAGCCTTCTCACCTGGTCTCCTTTCCCTTCCGAAACAGCCATCTTTCTGTAAGCATCCCCCCCTCCTTCCCCCGGCAAAGGACCGATCCTCAGCGTGAAGGCTGCTGGGAAATGTAGTCCAAGCGCCGATCAGGGCCTGCTCTGAGTCCCTGGAGCCCCTCTTCTAGCTGCGGGATCTGCTGGAACCTTTATAAACCTGGGATTTATAACGGTTGCGGGGCTGTGTCCTCTTGTTCTGTAATTTGTTCTCACCCAAAATACTTTGTAAAGCTGAGGCGGGCCCGAGGCTGTTCACTCCCTCCCTTCCCTATCCGCCTCCCCCTCCCCCCCCCCAGCAGGATGAGGTAATGGGATTGTGATTATGACATCATAGGTGGTTCAATTGCGGGGTGTGTGTTGTGGGGGGAGCACGGTGGTTATGGCTGGACCACTTAAGACAGAGAGGGAGGGAGGAAGCTGGCATATGAGGAACCGGTGTCGACTGTACTGTATTTCCTCTTCAGGAACTGGAAACCACTTTTTATTAAATCTCCACCACCATCTCCCACCTCAGCCAAAGTTTTAAGTCCTTTTTCAAGAACTGAATGTTGATGTCAGTAATGGGGGGAAAAAAACCCATAGAGGTTCCTGGCTCTTCTGTAAACTGGAGTCTCAGGTAACAACAAAAAGTTTTCAATAAATGCTCTCATGCTGTGAGCACTAGTAGGGCAGACTTTTAGTTTCCTTTTTAATTGGTAAAAAAGTGGTAATTCAGTCACTTCACTATTGCAGTAGTAGCAGCAAGTCCCTAAAACACATGTGTTTTCTTTGACTATTTCCTACCCTACTCGTCTGGGATAGGTAAACAGCGGTAGACCTCGTGCTGTGCTGGGGATCCTCTTTGAGCTGGGGAGGGGAGGAAACAGGACCCTTAAGTATGCACACTGGAAAAGAGTGAAAAAAAGAATAAAGTATTAAAGAGTGGAGGTGGAAAGTCAGGTTTGGTGGCACCCATCTAAAATCCCAGCACTTGAGAGGGTAGAGGCAAGCAAGGTCAACGTTTCAAGTGCAGGGGCCAACCAAGGTTGCACAGTAAAACCTAAAAAATAGGAGGGGGAGCGTGGAGATTTGTATTGCATTGCACATTTGACAAAGAGTATAGGAGACATGGTTTCCAGCAATTGCACTGTGCTACATACTCTATTTACTTTATTACTTGTTTTTGAGACAGGGTCTCATTCAGCTTCTTCAGGCCTCAAACTTATTACATAGCTAAGGATGTCCTTAAACTCTGCTCTTCCTGTCTCAGACTCCCAGATGCTAGGATTACAGACATGAACCCCCATGTCTAGTTGCACTATATACTTTTTGTTTGGTTGGTTTTGGTTTTGGGGGATAGGGTCTCTTTGTGTAGCCTTGGCTGTCCTGGAACTTGCTCTGTAGACCAGGCTGGCCTCGAACTCACAAGAGATCCACCTGCCTTTGCCTCCCTAGTGCTGGGATTAAGGGCATGCACCACCACTGCCTAGCTTGCACTATATACTTTAAGTAAATATATTTATTGCCATTTTCCTTTCAATCACCAAATGAGAAAAATCAACAACAAAACCACCTGAAAGGCTGAATGATTGCCCATGTAGTAGTAAAGGTTGCATCAAAATCTGAGACTCTAACACCTTGTATTTTCTCTTTTGGTTTTGTTTTGGTTTGTTTGTTTGTTTGTTTGTTTGTTTTGAGACAGGGTCTCGCTGTGAACATCTGGCTGTCCTGGAACTTACTATGTAGACCAGGCTAGCCTACAATTCACTGAGCTCCTCCTGCCTCGGCCTCACCAGTGCTGAGATTATGGACACGGACCACTGTACCCAGGATCACCTTGCCCCCTTTACTCCTAGCCATGCTTACAAAAGTTAAATGATTGTGTGAAAGTTAAGTTAGCATTGAAAGAAACTGAGTCATAAACTCAGGGCCATCCTGGGTTACATAGTGAATTCTAGGCCAGCCTGGACTACAGAGTAAGATGCTGCCTCACCTCGCCACCACCACCGAATAAATAAGTAAAATTAAAAAGAAAGGAAGGAAGGAAAGGAGATAAAAATAAAACAGTCCTAAGGACAAGTAGATAATATAGCTCAATAATGCAAGACAAAAGAAAACTGCAAAAAAAACTGCAAAATTTAAAAACACTGCAAGTCATGCCTAAGGGCACACCATGTTTCATAGTGTGACCTGAGACGGCCTACCAGTAGAGCTCAGCCCTGCCCAGATTGACGCCTCTCGATTCTCACGGGTGGTTTTGATTGCCTTGCCTTTTTTATTGTTTCTGTTTGTTTGTTTGTTTTGTTTGCAGGTCTTGTTTTTGTTTGGCCACAGGATATAATGCGGCTGAGGCTGGCTTTAAACTCCTGACCCTCCTGTTAATCTCTGTAATAAAGAACTCAATGTTTTATCAAAATCAAGCTTTAAGTGACAGAAATAAACAACTTCTGATCCTTTGCTTTCGCCTGCCCAGTGCCGGATTACAGGGGTCAGCAACCTGCCCAGTTCCCTTTCTGGACTTTATTTGTGGTGAAAGAGATCAAACTCAGGGCCATATGCATTCAGGCAAGCCCTCTGTCTTCAGCCCCCATCTCCTTTGGACTCTACCTTCTGCCCTCATAGGTCAGACCCTGTCTGTTTCCCTGATTCAGTGGGTTTTGGCAGAGGACACTACCTGGGTCTCTTTCTGGCCTCTGTGCCACTTCTCTGAGGATTCTGGAGCCTGGGGCCAGTCATGCAGGAGATCATCCAAAGGAGTAGTATCCACTGGCCTTAGGAAGTCTTAGTTGCCTTCCTAGAGAGGTGGCAGAGTGAGAGAACATGCACTCATGCAGGTACTCCCCACTTCCACCCAATAGAACCCGAGTCTTTGCAAACTGGAGAAAGCAGGGCTCAGCCTACACCACCCATAGAAGGAGTCAGGCTAGTGACCACACCCTCGGCCTCCCTGTCATGCAGAGGCTGGTTTGGGGGGTCCCGGGTATGCAGGGCTCGTCTCCATTGCCTGATCTGGGCATCCCAGGATTGGCCGCTGTACCTCCTGTTTTTGTTTGGTGTTTGAGGGTGAAACCCAGGCTGTCGCTGTGCCCTGGCAACGACAAATATGGGTCAGATGGAGGTCAGAGGAAAGGGATACTGCTCATGGCTTAGCACAGTGAATCAGAGGCCTAGACAGGAACCACTCAAGGGCAGGATAATAGGGCTGGAGAGGTGGCTCAGAGGCTAAGAGCACTGGCTGCTCTTCCCGAGGTCCTGAGTTCAATTCCCAGCAACCACATCATGGCTCACAACCATCTGTAATGAGATCTGGTGCCCTCTTCTGGTCTTCAGTCATGCATACTGTATACATAATAAATAAATAAATCCTAAAAAAAAAAAAAAAAAAAAAAAAAGGGACAGGATAATACTCCAGTTCAGCAAATACGGTGAGACCAGGCCTGGTGGCACATACCTAGAATCCTGAAATTTTAGCACTTGGAGGTGGAGGCAGGAGGATCAGAAGTTCAGTGTCATTCTCGACTGCATAGTGAGTTTGAGGCCAGCCTAGGCTACATGAGACTAAGAGACACAGAGGGCGGGGAGGAGGGCAGGGAATAATGCTCACTTCAGCAAGCACATATACTAAAATAAGAATTATACTGCCGGCAGTGGTAGCACACGCCTTTAATCCCAGCACTCGGGACGCAGAGCCAGGCGGATCTCTGTGAGTTCAAGGCCAGCCTGGTCTACAGAGGGAGATCCAGGAAAGGTGCAAAGCTACACAGAGAAACCCTGTCTCAGAAAAAAAAAAAAAAAAAAAAAAGAATTATACAGAAGTTTAAACTGGTCCTTGATTAAGGATGATATTCAACTTTCTGATGCATTTCATGTGTGTGTGTGTGTGTGTGTGTGTGTGTGTAGGTGTAGGTCATGAAAATAGAAAGGGAACTATAGAGGAAGAAGGGACAGGAGGTCTAAAGGGAGCAGAGAGGAATATACATGACATGAAAACAGAAGAGGGAGCTGGAGAGATGGCTCAGAGGACCTGGGTTCGATTCCCAGCACCCACATGGTAGCTCACAACTGTCTGTAGTTCCAGTTCCAGAGGATCTGACAGCCTCTTCTGGCCTCCACAGGCATGTATGTGGTACACAAACATACATGCAGGGAAAATACCCATACACATAATAAAAATTTTAAAAAGTTAAATGAACAAAGAATAATGAAATACATTCATATAATGAAAATATCACAGCGAAACCCATTCCCTGTACACTAACAAAGAAGATTAATAAGAAAAGAAATATTGGGGGGACAACAAGATGGCTGAGGGGAGAGGCTGAGGACCAAGTGTGAGCCCCAGAAGAGCCCGTGCTGGAAGCAAAGAACCAACTTTTGAAAGTTATCCTCTGGCTTTGACAGGCACATCTGCACTCACACATTAAATGATAGAACAGAACAAAAACTTCAGAAAAAAGAAACATGGACAAGCTTGGAAAGTCTTCTGGGTTAAGACTTCTTTTCTACTTGAGAGAAATCTTGAACTTATTTTTGGGGACTAGGTTGTGGGAGAATTAGTCATTCTTCACCTTTGCTAGAGCATTCCATTTCCAGTTTTCTTTCCATCACTGGACAGTGAGTGCCAGCCACTTGGCTGACATTCTTGTGGTG